TAGAAGGGTCATACTAGATTTTAGAAATTATTTTAAAATATCCAAAAAATATTACTAAAAGAAAAAAATGAGTCATAATAAAAATGGATATATCATACACCATTCAATAGAGGAAACAATTCTAAGCATATTGGTTAACACCTTAAGTTTTTATCACTTTTCATTTCAACAAAAATGTGGATGCAATTTTTACAAAAAGTACATCTTCACTTTTTTTTTCTCAATTATTTTTTTTATCACCAGAATTTTACCCCAAGACATAGTAACCTCTATTAGAAGGGTCATACTAGATTTTAGAAATTATTATAAAATATCCCAAAAAATATTACTTATATAAAAAATCATAATAAATATGGACATATCAAACACAATTCTAAAGAGGGTACAATTCTAAGCTTATTGGTTAACACCTTAAGTTTATATCACTTTTCATTTCAACAAAAATGTGGTGGCAATTTTTACAAAAAATACAACTTCACTTTTTCTCCTTTGATATTTTTTCTAAAGGATACATTACTTTTTTTTTTCCACAATATCAACCTCATTCTAAATTATAATTCTTTTACTAAGCAATTTTTTGGGCCTCCTAAAAATTTGCTTTTTGTTTACTTTAGCACATGAGTAGGCCAAAGGGTGAGACAGTACATACAGTCTAGGAGATGACCCCTAGTGGTGTTGGATGGGTGGGTTTATTTTGTTTTTTTAGTGTTGAATGTTAGAGTAGTAAAATTTTTTGGAGAGGTGACATCCTACATAAATGAAGGGTCATACTTAGTTTTGGAATATATATACAATCTTGCATAACACCACAACTAGAAATCCAACAATCCAATTATTTCAATCTTTAAACATCTAGCTGAACAATTAATGGATTAATCATAGAACTCAATTTTTAATAAATTAAAATAGTCATATAAAATAATTATATTCTATATTATTATAAAATCAAGTAATGCAGATATTGAAATGAATTCTCAATATCATAATTAACATCTACTACAATCAATTCCAAATCTACACAAAGTCCTAACTTCTATTTTAAAGAAATGCACAAGATACTTTTATCGATTTTGCAGTATATAACTTAAAGTTAGAGTAATAGAAATTCATTATTAAAAATAAAAAAGAATATGCAAGCCCATTTTTAAGAGAAGGAAGCTCTTGCTGATATCTTTGGTCATATAAACAATGTAGATGAGCAAATTTTTGGTGTCATATTAGAAAAAATAAGAAAGGAAAAAGTTTAAGACATCATTGGATATCTTTCAGATAACGGGACTCAAAGCCAATTAGAATCATGTATCTTACAAAAAGGAGAGAATATCACCCAGGCTGATAACGTATAGAAATTGCCTGTTGTTAGAAATGAAATCAAATAAATCACAGAAGTCTTAAGAAAATTAAAAGACCATGACTTCAATTACAAAGACTTTTCCTCTAAAGAAAATGAAGAATCAACACTAAGTTTAATGAATAATATCAAGGATAATAGAAGGATAATTGAATTTCTGTAATTTTTAGTTCACCTCACATCTATAGATAAAACTTTGATATAATGCGGATCTAATTCCTTATATATATTAGTTTAGATGAAGGTGGACCTTAGAAACAAAAATTTGGAAAA